GTCTTCGTCTCCGCCCTTTCCGTCCCAACTCCAGCCGTTCCGAGGCGAGAGGGGGAAGGAGCGCAGTCAAGAAAACTTTGTAGCAGCTCCTGCGTCCCTGTTGTGCACGATTTGCGAATTCCGGCGCTCCTGCGCAGGCCTGCCTATTGCGTGTCTGGGGGGGGGCAGCTCTTTGGAGACCCCCCGCGCCAGCGACGATCGGCACCGACACTCGGCACCGACACTCGGCAACGACACTCGGCAACGACACTCGGCAGCGACACTCGGCGCCGACACTCGGCTCCGACACTCGGCACGCGCACCCTCCAGAGTGCAATCTCCTCCAAGGGGGTCCTAAAGAGAGAGGCGGTCTCTGCCACCCTGACGCACACAACCTATCCCGAAGCTTCCAGGCGCAGCGCCAGCCCCGCCAAGCATTGTGCCGGGCGTGTCCACCTACAGGGGGATTTTCGACGAGCAAATACCCCCAAAATACCCCCAAAAAGGTCAAACATTACTTCAAAAATAGTCCCCAGACTATTTTTGGACTATGTTTGGACTGTTTTGGGTTTTTTGTTTTTCGTCGAAATGTCCTGCGTAGGGGGACAGGCCCGACTTGAGCCAAGCAGTGCACTGCAGCGCGAGAGTGCCGTGCAGTGACTCCCCTGGCTGGGGTGCCCGCGCGCCTGCTCCGGCGCCCGGGCACAGGTGAAGGGGCCCAAAGACACGCAAATAGATGGCGCCAGATCCCGGGATTCCCCACATGTTCCCATGCTTTTGGGGGGATTTTTGTCGTGCCCCCCCACTTCCCATATCTTCCCATACCTGTACAACCACCCTTCGGGTGAGGAGGAGATTGTGGGGGGAGATGGGGGAACCAACATCTGACTCAATCGATCTCACTATCGATCTCACTCAACGGGACACCACGAGACACTCCGGGCCACCACGTGACACCACGGGACACCGCGGGACACCTCTCGATCTCACTATCGGTCTCACTATCGATCTTACGAGCGATTTCACTCAACAGGACACCATAGGACACCACGGGGCACCTCGGGACACCACATCGATCTCACTATCGATATCACTATCGATCTCACTTAACGGGACACCACGGGACACCTGTCGATCTCACTGTGGATCTCACTATCGATCTCACATTTTGGGTCACCACGGGACACCTCGAGGCACCACATCGATCTCACTATCGATCTCACTATAGATCTCACGATTGATCTCACTCAACGGGACACCGCGGGACACCCCGGGACACCACGGGACACCTGTCGATCTCACCATCGATCTCACTATCGATCTCCACTTTTTGGGTCACCACGGGACACCACGGGACACCTCGGGGCACCACATCGATCTCAGTACCGATCTTAGTATCGATCTCACTATCGATCTCACTCAACGGCGGCACCACGGGACACCACGGGACACCACGGGACACCGCGGGACAATGCGAGCCACCGCTGGACGGACGGACGGGCGGGCGGGGGAGAATCATTTGTCTTGACTTCGCCCTAGCAACGGCGGCACCACGGGACACCACGGGACACCACTGGACACAACGGGACACCGCGAGCCACCGCAAGACGGACGGGCGGGCGGGGGAGAGTCATTTGTCTTGACTTCGCCCTAGCAGCGGCGGGTTCATTCCTCTCGCGCGCCCACGCAGCTTCGCCTCGCCCGCACGCGCGACACGAACGAAACGAGACGATTTCCTGGCTGGGGGGTCTCCGTTCCTCTGCGCTTTTACCCCCCAACCTCCGATGTTCTGGGGGATCGACGATTAATCTTAAGTCGGGCCTGTCCCCCGACAGGGGGATTCTGGACGAAAAATGAAAAATATTCAAGAAGTGCCCTAAAATATTCAAAAATGGTGAAAAAAACAATGTCCCCTGACTATTTGTTAACTATTTTTCCGTATCCCTCCTGTAGAGGGACGGGCCCGACTCAAGATTCACTTCGGGAGCGGCCAAGAGGGGGGTGTCCAAGAGGGGGGGTGCAAACCATGACCGGCGACATGTGCGCGGCCCAGCGGGGGGGCCAGGGACGTAGTGAAATGAGAAGAGGCGCCATGAAACCTGGGGAACTATCATGGCCCCCGCCATGATATCCGCCCCCCGCCCCCCCTAATCATCACCCCCCTCGTTTCCGCCCCCGATGTCTGGCTGGCTGGCTGGCTATCTAAGAGGCTACGGCCGGTTCGTGTCTTGTCGACTCAGGCGTTGGCTTCCGACACCGCGTTGATCGCTCGACCTTGAACTATCTTCAGGGGGACGTAAGACCTGGGGACAGGGGACTCGGAAATCCCCGACGAGGTCGTCAAAAAATGACGAGGCCGAGCCTGCATTCTGACGAGGCCTCCCGCTGCAGACATCCCACGAAACTCCTCCTCGTCCAAAATCCGAGGCGCGGTCGTCAAAAAACGATGGCGAACCCGAGTCCTGGCAAACCCGGGTCTTACGCTCCCCCGATATCTGCGGCTTCTCGATCGCCAGATCGCTCCCACATCAGCAGACCCTGGGCCACCAGCGGCGTGTTCCACCTTGAACGCCTGAAACTCGGCTTCCCGCCCCCCCCTAGTGAAGGGACACCAGGACACACAAATAAATACACACAAATAAAAGGATTCCCCATATTTTCCTATATTTTCTGGGCTTCTGTCTTCACCCCCCACTTCCCATATTTTCCCATATTTTCTGGGAATCGACGATTAATTGTGTCTGTGTGGTTTTTCCCCTCCTGACCTAGTCATCACCACCCCCCTCTTTTCGGGGATGGACAGACCCCCCTTTCGTAAAACGTGGCTTAGTGAAAACGACCTGAGGCCCAAACCTGGCGGGCGCAGGCCTGGAAAGTAACGGCCTCGGCGCCCTCTCGAGAACCGAAAACGGACAATTCACTCATCGACGCGTCACTGTTGGGGGCTTCGTTCTGTCCACCGAACGAAGCCCCTTCTCTGAAGGGGCCCTGGGACACGCAACTAAACTTTTTGTTCGTCAGCGGGTCGAGAGCGAGCCTCTTCCAGTTCAGAGGTAAACATCGGAGAGGAACCACAATCAGAGTCTTCTTTGGTATTGCAATAGGCTGTAGGGCTAGTGGGCTATTGCGCTATAGGGCTCTTGGGCTGCACGCCCGTGCACCCGGGCACCCTCGGGCACCCTCGGGCACCCTCGGGCACCCTCGGGCCCCCCCCCGGGCACACGGGCGTGCAGCAAAAATCGGCGGCCAACCTCACCCCTGGGCACCCCCGGGCACTCGGGCACCCAGGCGTGCAGCGAAAATCGGCGACCACGCTAGCCTAACAATATATGAATCCGCCAGGACCCTTCCAGAGGCAAGCTCTGATCGGGGAATAAGAAAGGATTCCCCACATTTCTCCATATGTTCGGGGTTTCTATCTTCCCCCCACTTCCCACACCTTCCCGTATGTTCGCGGGAACCGACGGTGCATTGTGTGCCTGTGTTTTTTCTCCTAGCTCCTGATTATTGGCCCTGGCGGCGCCCGGGTGCGCCTGGGAGCGGGAGGGCCAAGAGAGGACCCAGGCCGCCTCGATTCCCTTCCGAGACCGAAGCAGGTCCTCACTCCAGCGCCTCGTCTGCACTGCACCAGAAGCCCAGTACAAAGCACATCGTAATTCACCAACCAGCAAAACGCGGCAACGATTCAGTCGGGCCTGTCCTCCTACAGGGGGATGTTGGACGAACAATTAAAAATCGTAGAAAAACGCCACCACATGGCGGAAAAATACTAAAAAAATAGTCCCCAGACTATTTGTCCGACTATTTTTGAATACTCCTCCTGTAGAGGGACAGGCCCGACTTCAGGCAGCGATCATGGAGACTGCGTGGACGGCTCGTCGTCGGCGAAGGCAGGGCGGCAGCGTGCAGGGCGGCGACACGGAAGAGGCGCCAGAGAGAGCTCTGGCGGGGGAGGCGAGGGCAGGGACGATCGGACCGGGCGAAAGGAGGAGGAGGAGGAGGAGGAGGAGGAGGAGGAGGAGGAGGAGGAGGGGGAGGGGGAAGGAGGGAGGAGGGGGAGGGGGAAGTCGGGCCGGGCGAAAGGGGGGGGGGATAGCAAAGGGGGGGTTTTGAGAATCAGCTCACGTAGCTGATTTTCCCGGCTCCTCCCGGCGCCGGAGGCGGCTGTGTATCGAGGAATGGGCCCCTCGGTGGGGCCGAAACCAGCTGCATGCAGCAGATTTCGTACCCCTTCCTTCCCCTTTCCCAATCCCCCCCTTTTGTCCGGCCCGAGACGAAGAGCAAGAGGAAGACGATGAGGAGGAAGCGGATGAACACTCCGAGGAGCCCTGGAGGAGACGGTACAGGAGGGAGAGGAAGCGGATGATGATGATGATGATGATGATGATGATGATGATGATGATGATGATGATGATGATGATGATGAGGATGATGATGAGGAGGATGATGATGATGACATGCTGATGATGATGACTATGAGGATGATGATGACGATGCTGATGCTGATGATGATGCTACTGATGATTATGACGACGATGACGACGACAACGACGATGATGATGATGACGATGCTGATGATGATGATGCTGATGCTGATGCTGATGCTGATGCTGATGCTGATGCTGATGATGATGATGATGATGATGATGATGATGATGATGATGATGATGATGATGATGATGATGATGATGATGATGATGATGATGATGATGATGCTGGCTGGGGGCTCGTGCTGGTGCTGACGAGGACCTCTTTTCTCTGGGGAGAGAGCCCCTGTTGAAACCCTCTCTCCAGAGGGACGGGCTCCAGGCCGCTGCCGCAAAACCAGCGCTGCCCCGGCCGCCCCGCCGCGGGCGACGCGGGCCCCAGGCGGGCTCCGCGCCGCTCCGCCGCAGAAACCTAAGCCGCCGCAGCTGCCCGCGGAGCGCGGCCGCCCCCCGCGCGGAGCCCCGGCGCGGCGCCGAGCGCAGCGCCGATGGGGCGGCCGGTGGCTCGCGGCGGCTACCCGCGCGAGCGCGGCGTCAGCGCGGCATGAAGATGGGCTCCACGTCGCTGCCGCTGTCCGAGCCGCCCCCGTCCTCAGACGGGCGCGCTCCACTGCTCGCAAGGTGGCGACTCGCAGAAGGGTCTGGATCCGCCAAGGGGGGGGTTCACGATCCTTTGCATACAGGCGGACACGTGTTTGTTCTGGCTCCTCCTCCTCCTCCTCCTCCTCCTGCTTCTCCTCCTCCTCCTCCTTCTCCTCCTCCTCCTCGTTGGCGAGTAGGCACTCTGCGAGCAGTGGACCGCGCTCGGCGAGTCCTGGCTGCCCGAGCCGTCGGTGCCGCGGCTGGGGCCCTCGCGCATGCTCGGCAGCACCTGGGCAGCAGCCCCCCCTCCCCCCCGCGGGGGCGCTTCGGGGGCGAGCGCCCTCGCCCCCTCCCCCCAGAAGTCTACACCCTGCGAAATGCTTAAGAAATCATGGGTTAAGAAATTCATAGTCTCAGAACTTGAACAAAAACTCAAAATTTCCATTCAAATCATAGGATTTACATTGAAACATTAAGAATAATCGAGACTCTAGCCGAAGACGTAAGTTTTCTTAAGCATCGCCGAAGGTGTATGCAGCGGAGGCCAGTCCACAAGAAATCTTCCACAAGAAACCCAACCCCGAGACCCCAGGACGTGCATCCGTTCTCGGTGCGGGAACGCCACGCTGTCCATAGCAAGACCGTCGAAACCCAAGAAACTCAGGGCACCCTGGAGGCAGGCAGGGTGTTTCTTGACATGGGTCTCCACTGCAACAGGAGGTTGGCTACGGAATCGGCTTGCCCCAGGGCTAACTGTTGCGCCGAATCTGCGGCAGGTGCGCTCAATGCTTCGCAGATCTCTGAACCTTGTCTGCGGAGTTTCTTCGCAGATTCGACCACGCGTGGGGCGTCTCGATTCTGCAGTCGGACCCCGACTGGAACAACACAAACGCAGCCTCGGGGAGGATGCGGCGGACGATGGTTGAGGGATGAAGAGAATTGCCCCATACCCTGGGTTACAAGTACGTGGTCTGTGAACCTCCTGGGAGCTCCCAAAGGCCAGAGAGCCGCCAGGACGCCGCGCGGCACGCGCGATGCGCAGCGTCTGCCCTGCCAGCCAGCAGCAGGTGCAGCGCACAGCGCCTCGTGATCCAGGTAGGGGGCGCGTCTTACGCCCTTGAGATGGGGGCGGGGAAGGAGGGCGCTGTGCTTACGTCGGGCGTGTCCCCCTGCAGGGGGATTCTCGAAGAAAAATAAAACGTACCCCAAACATAAAGGCAAACAAAATACTCAACAAATAGTCCCCAGACTATGTTTGGATTATTGTTTGACTATCTGTGAGGTATTTTTTGATTTTGTTCATCGAATATCCCCCTGTAAGGGCCCAACTGGACGCTGTGCGGCGGTGGAGCACGCGGTCTCGAGGGGCCTCGGTGGCGACCACCGGGGCCTCGACGCGTCCCTCCGCGCGAAGCTGCTCGCAAGGTCTGCCGCCCCCCCCCCCCCGGCACACGGCGCTCGGGCGTCCACTCCCCAGAGGAGTACTCTTCGATGCCGTGCGTCGTCTTCTGTTGCCCGGTGACTAAACATGCTCCTCGATGGTCCTCGCCAAGAATGGGGTTGGACAGGACCCCCTTTAGTATAACGTGTGTTTTAGTGAGAACGACCTCGGGCCCAAACCGGGCGGGCGCAAGCCTGGAACATGACGGCCGCGGCGCCCTCTCGAGAACCCGAAACGAACAATCCACTCATCGACGCGTCAGGGTGTGAGGCCTGTCCGCCCCCGAAAGGAAGAGCACACGTCTGAGCGATGCCAAGCCCCTTACCCCCCCCCGAATTGTTGTCGATGTGCGCGCGGGGCGCGGTCCGGCGACGCAGTCGAACCATACATTTGAAGTCATCTGCCTCGACATCCGCTTGGGAGTTGGGAGGAGAAGGAGGAGTAAGAGGAGGAAGAGGAGGACGGTGAGAAGGAAGAAGGAGGAGGGAGGGAGAAGTGAGGAGGGAGGAGGAAGGAGGGAGAGGTGGGTAGGGTTTGGGGGGGGGGACCGACGCCCCATACCATACATGCTTGGGGTTGGCTTGGGGGCGCCGACACTGCGCGGGTTTGCGAGAGGTGGCAGGGCGAGGGAGGCGGGTGAGGCGGAGGAGGGGGACGAGAGGGAGGCGGAGGCGGGGTGCGAAGGAGCTGCGGGACGGGCAGGAGGCGAGGTGGAAGGGATGGAGGGGGGGCGAGGAGGGAGAGGAGAGGAAGAAGACGGACCAGCAGGAGCAGGAGGAGGATCAGGTAATGTGGAATCAGAAGATCAGAAAGAGGGAAGGGGGGAGGCGGGGGGGAAGCAGGAAGAAGCGGAACATAATGTTGAGGCCGACGTCGTCGGCAATGTCGAAAAAACACACATCATTATATATGTGTATATATATATATATGCACATATAAACTCCCTCTCATTATGTTCCCCTTATCCCAAAGAGTTGCACAACAGCTGGGGGGAAACCGTAGTCCAATAGCTTGGCCAAACTTCGGACCAGCATATGGCCGCATAGACGTTTCCAAAGGCAGGGGGGCGGCGGTGGCTCACCGTTGGCGTCTTCGATGTTTGGGAAGAATCCTCGAGCGCTGTCTCGATCCTCCATGCTGGCCGAAGGCCGCCCATGGCCCCCGCGAGATCGATGCAGGCAGCACGTCCAAGACCTCCAACGACATGATGCTTTCACAACGCGGGCCCCTGGAGTTAGGTCGGGCATGTCCCCCTACAGGCGGGCTTTGGACGAAAATGAAAAATTTAAATACGCCACAAAATAACCAAAAAAAGTCAAATAATCGTCCACATACTATTTGTAAAACTATTTTCAAATATTCCTCCTGTAGAGGGACAAGCCCGACTTAACCCTGGAGGCCTCGACCGCTTCCCAAAGACTGGCTTTTCATTACGAATCTCTCTCCCCACTTAGGCCTTACACTTGTTTCGACGAACCGGTGGGTGCCAGGCCTGCACCAACTGGCCTTCTCGGGGGGAACGAAAGGGGGAGATAGCGAAGGTTAGGGTAGAGAATCAGCTCGCGTAGCTGATTTTCCCAGCGCCTCCCGGCGCCGGGAGGCGCCCATGTATCGAGGAATGGACCCGGCGGCGGGGCCGAAACCAGCTGCATGCAGCAAATTTCGTAACCCCCCCTTTCCCTATCCCCCCCTTTCGTTCGGCCCGACCTTCCCTGGAATGCCCGGTTGCCCCGTTGCCCCGTTTCCCGCTTGCCTGGGCTGCCTGGGTTGCCCCAAATGCCGAGGTGTCCAGGTTGGCTGGGTGCCCAGGTTGCCCCGATTGCCCTGTTGCCCGGTTGCCCAGTTGCCGAGGTGTAGGGTTGCCAGTCAGGGACGACCAATGCCAAGCAGTGCCAAGCAATGCGAAAGCAATGCCAAGCAATGCCACGCAAGGAATACGAAGCAAGGCAATGCCAAGCAAACATTGAGCAACGCCACGCAATACCAGGCAGCGACAAGCAACGCCACGCAGTGCCGAGCAGTGCCAAGCAATGCCAGAACACGCCAGGGAACGCCAAGCAATGAGTGCAAAGCAAAGCATAGCAAAGCGATGCCAAGCAAAGCAAAGCAAAGCAGAGCAAAGCAAAGCGATGCCGAGCAGAGCAATGCCATGCCATGCCATCCGCCGGGTTCCGTCGGTTCATATTCACGGCCCCGTGGCCCGCCACGGGAGCCGGCGCGAGCCGAAAGTGGGCAGCAGAGGCCCTCCGCCCCGAATGTCGGTCCACGCCGCGGGAAGGGGCGCCGGAGCCTGGGGCCAAGAGTTGTGGATGCCACGACAATGGACACCCTGACGGTCCTATCATGGAGTTCAACATGTGCATAACATGTAAGAAACATGTTCTGGACATGCTTCAAGCATGTCTGAAACGTGTTCAAGACCTGTTTCAGACGTCTGGAAATGATTTGGCAACATGCTTCCTCTCCATTGATCGTCCTCCACAGGCCAAGAGCCGATCCTTGATCCTGGACGGAGGCCCCGCCGGTGGCCGCCAGAGGGCGCCCCTTGAGCCCAGACTTACGCCGGGCGTGTCCCCCTACAGAGGGATTTTCGACGAAAAATAAAAAATACCCCAAACATGCCCCAAAAGGGTGGAAAAAAACGCAAAGAATAGTCCCCAGACTATTTTTGGACTATTTTTTGATTATTGTTTGGGGGTATTTTTTATTTTGCGTCGAATATCCCCCCGTAGGGGGACACGCCCGACTTAAGCCCAGACCTCCGCAGACGAGCTGCGACTCTCTCCCGCGAGGCACTCGCCGGCGGGCCACCCGGGAGGTCCAGGCCGCTCCCCCGGGGGAGACGGGCCCGGGTCACCACCGGCTCCGTGCTCTCGCGGGGGGACGTACAGGTGGGGCGTCTTGCCATCGCTCGGACGTCCACTCCTCGCGCGTGCTTCGCTCTCGTGCGTGCTTATCTCGCCAAGTCATCCAGGATGCTCCTCCACGGTCCTCGCCGAGGCACAAGTGCACACGTCGGAGCGATGCCGAGGCGTGAGGGGCAGAGGTGGGGGGCATGAGGAGCCTCGCTCTGAACGGGCCCTGGGCGACGCAAGCGTGAGCAGCCGGCTGGGCCCGATATCCCTGCTCCGGGTTTCTCAAGGAAAGCGTGGGGGGGTGTACAGTCGAGGCGTTGACCTAAGGAACCCTAAATAAGGAACGAGGCCCCTATTTTCCATAAGTTGAACTTCGCTTTCGTATAGAAAACATAAGGAAAATCCAGGGCAAACTGCGAAACTATTAAGGAACACGGAGCCCCTCCCCAACGAAAAGGGTTCCTTCTTCAGGGCCCCGACTGTACCCTTCCGACGGGGGTCGGCCTCGCCTCGTCGTCGCGCCGCGACGGGGGTCGGAGCGCCTTCGGCGCGCGGCGGCTGCCCGCGACGGGGGTCCACGCGGGGCTGTCGGCGGGGGCGACTCCCCCCCGACGCTTCGTAAGAAACTCGGAGTAACCCCACCTTGGGTTATGATG